GAGAAATCAAGAAAATTTCAACTAATTGAAATTTTCTCAATTTCAACCCATCTACCACTTGACGATATTATTTTACTCATCTTTTCATGGGCCTATGAGCTCTCCAGTGTTAAATTTTGCGAAAGAGAGCTTGAAATAGGTGTTTATTCAACCTTTGATTGGAGTTCTTTTATGAGATAAATATGTGCTATGGCCCATCTTGAAGAGCCTACTGTTATTGGGGGGAGGGTAAAATTGTCGAAATTGATGAAAGTTTATTTTCGCGTCGAAAAAAAAACATTGGCCGGATACCCAGAACAATGGATTTTTGGGGGGTTATTGCCGCGAATCAAAGCGAAGTTTTCTATATGCCGTCCCTGATCGCTCTTCCGCTACCCTTATCCCTGTCATACGTCAGTCAAAATGTCCCAGAACGCTGATTTGCTTGGACAAATGCAAAACTTATAGTGGCATAATATGTTATAACTGAGGTATTTGTTTGTTGATTACGTGTTTTCAATTTAATTTTAAAAAAATCCGAGCGACTATTTTCTTAATTTTGAGCCGTTTAGTGTGCATAAGACCCCAAAACTTTGCTGTGCTGCTTTCTGCTTTAAGTCATTTTCTGTTATACAGATTTCGGTTATGTGCAAAAATCATGTAGCTAATAAGAACTTCTAAGGATTCGGTATGGTTGAAAGTTCGAAAGTTTTCCATCATTCAGTCACTCCATCATGAGAATAACCCCCCCCCCCCTCCCCGGTAAGCAAACGCAAATACGTCATGATTGAAAAATCGAATCGAACCAAAGTTGTGCTTATTAGTTTGGTCATTTTAAGCGAGCGCAATTGTCATGCTCAGAAAATTACTGACTGTGTGGTTAGAAATCGTAAACACGACCGGCTTACCACCGGTCGACTCGGCCGGTCAATTGCCTGTCGACCCGACCGGTTTCCTCCGTGATATAGAGCATTGATGGGATCGCTGAAGGTATGCGTTCATTATATAAACAAGGGAAACATGATGAGCTTGATATATTTGCTGTGTGTTTGTATAGGTGATTTCACAGCAGCTGGTGGTTGAGCGCTTGACAGCCACCATTAAAGGACTGAGTGGAATTAAGGGAGTGAGTCAAGGCATTAAAGACCAGCCTTCTAAGATGCTACTGGCCGCCTTCAACAAACTCAGAAAGTTAGTCAACCTCTTACTGTACTGAACAGTTGCAACTATCTCCATCCTTGCATGTTTTGTATTTGATTGTGAATATTGGCTGACAAATAAATGAAGAATAATTACCATTTTGTTCTGAATTGCAAAAAGTTTTAGTTTTGCGCCGGCAGTTTTTTGTTCTCTGGCTGTTTCTCTGAAGAACCCCCTACTCCATAATTGTTTTCAGTGGTTGTAAGACACTTGTTTGGCTCGTTGTTACATTTCGTTATGCATCATGCGAATCCTATTGTATAAATAAAAACTGAGGATGCTATCAAGTTAGGTGTGTGTAAACTAGATGAAGCGGACTAATGAACGAACTGCTCGCAGATTCCCGCTGAGTTTTTTTTTGGGTTAAACTTTTAAGGAGATTGTTGAACTTGATTGTTGGAATAGAAGAATATTCACAAGTGGATAAGGAGGGATGGGCAAGTTGTTTATGTAGTTTCATCCAGCCACTGTTGACAGTGTTGAGCAGTATGGGTCAGATACAGCAGCTGAGGATGCACCTGAACCAGAAGTTGTCTCTCCTCTCCTCCTCCAGATCCCAATACCTGCACGCCGGTCTCCTCACTCTCAATAAGGCCATTCTGCACGACATAGAAGCAAACACTCTCAACCCCAAACACAAGCAATACCCTAGCGAAGACCCAATGTTAGGTATCTTAACTTTTCTTAATGTTGATTGCTCGAGCCATTCGTGACTTTTCATTTGTAAACTTCCTCACTGTGTAAATTTTGATTGAAACATAAAGTTGGAAACAAAACATGGCAACTAAAGTAATTGAAAACTCAAAAGAAGAAGAATGATTAGACAAAAAAACATCATTCAAGTTTGCCTAGAGAAAGATCTGGAACTGATAGTAAAAATCAATCTCAGAAGTCTAACAACGTCGCCGTTGAACAACGAATTCTCAAGTCTCCAGATGCCGTTGATAGCATAAATCCGCATTCACTTTCGGGCATTAGAAATCAGCTGCAGTGTATCCCGGTAACGCTGATTAAGGGCAACACTTCGAATCAGTGATATGCAATGTTGGTCAACTGCAGCAGTTGCTCTTATTTATGCAAAACTACAGCAAAAAAACTGAAAATTACGCCAAAGCAATCAGTCGACCTGAAAGTTCATGGAGCTTTCTCAACAGATAAAATTCATTCGACCCTGATTAAACTGAGTGTCGCAGTATTAAAATCTGCTTCAGTGCTCTTCGCGTTACCAAATCTCTATTCTGTCGAAAAAAACTCGCTTCGACATTATCAACGTCAAACAACTGAACAATGTTTGCTCCCAATTCAACCATCTCAGCCACATCAATTACACGGAGCTGAAAGATAATCATGTCCGTGTTCTCCTTGGTGTTGATGCTTTTTGGTTCATTGCTGAAAGAGATGTCAAGATAGGTTCTGTTGGAAGCCCATTTGCCATCAGGAATTTGCTTGGATGGACCATCACGGGTCCTTTAAGTTGCAAGTATCTGAATAAAGTACCACGAGAGCCGCAAACAAGTGACATTGAAGCTCGCAACAGAGAGCGGCCAATGCTTAGCAAACTTGTCGAAAAATTTTGGAACATTGAAGATTCAGCAATACCTAATGCTTCAACTCCTGTGCCTTTCTCTAAAAAATGAAAATTTACTCAATGTCATGGAGGAAATTACTTTTGAGAACGGAACAAGATACAACATGAACTTAGCTTGGAAAGCAGAAATATAGCTTCCAAATAATTTTTGCGTCGCGAAAGCTCAATTGAACTCACCTCAACATCGTTTGAACAAATATCAAAACCTCCAAGATTTATATAATAAAACATTTCAATCCGAATTTTCAGTTCGGACATTGAAAACCTATATGTCAAACCGGTCATTTTTACCATTCCACAGCCACCTAATATCTGGTACCTACCTCACCACTCGGTTGTCAACTCAAACAAGCCCGGCAAAGTAAAGCGCGTAGCAAATGCCGGTTCAAAATTTCAAGGGGTTTCTTTGAACTTTTGCTTAGAAGCCCGACCTACTCTCCTCAACAATATGTTTGGATTACTTTTGGGTTTCCGTGAACAACCAATAGCTGTACCCGCAGATATTGAGGGCATGTTCATGCAAATAGATATCAAGGAGCCTGATCAGAATGCTTTAGGGTTCCTGTGGACCAGCAAAAAAGGCTTGAAGCAATATCAGTATACAAGGTTGATTTTTGGCGCCGAATGCTCGCCAATAATCGCATTGAATCTAACTGCAAAAGATTTCGCAAGTCAATCCAATACAAAACAACTCATTCGTCAGAGTTTTTATATGGATGATTTTGTTCACTCCTTCGAATCGATTGATATAACAGAAACTTCCGTCTTGAATATGAAAACAACGCTAGAAAAAGGTGGATGCAATTTAACAAAGTTTGTGTCAAATGAACCCGAAGCTTAAACAATTTTCCATAGGCAGACATTGTCGAAGATAACGCAACGCAGCGAATATTAGGTGTCCTCTGGGACACAAAAGAGGATAATTTGTTCGTGAAAACGAAAGTTAACCCAAAGCTCAACCATGACCCTTCGCCAAATGCTGTCATCAATAGCCACATAATTCGATCCATTGGGGTTTCTAGCTCCGTTCCTAATCCTTATGAAAATCCTTCTACAGGTTATCTGGAGGAGCGGAGTTTCATGGGACGAAGAAATACCACATAAGCGTACCAGTGTCGCAGAAAAATAGCTCCTTCAATGTAGTCAGTTGAAAATTTCTCATTCGTGGGATTAATTTCTGACAACGCACAGATGCAGCTGCACGTTTTCGCCGATGCATCCCAAAATGCAATGGCAGCCTGTATTTTTGCTCGAACGGTTACATTATCAAAAGTCAACGCTCATTGTGTTATAGGCCGAACCAAAGTAGCTCGTCTTAAACAAGAGAGCATTCCTAAGCTTGAATTACAAGCAGCTGTAATCGCATCACGTCTGTGCAAATTCGTCTTTAATGAATCTAGATTTGAGCCGAGCTTTGTATTCTGTTGGACTGACGGCACTACCGTTCTAGCTTGGCTGAAGAACACGCCAAAACGCAAAGACTTTTGCAGCAATAGAGTCAACGAAATTCTTTTTTTTTTCAAAGGAAACCCAAGGGAATCATATCTCAGGAAAAAGTAATCCGGCTGATTATGCTGAGCAAAGAGACATCGCCATTTCAGATTTAGATAATCTCTTGCTCCAGCCTCCTTCTTCTGAAACCAGGATTTTCTTCTGCAACCTGAACCAAAACCCCAATATCGTGAAACAACTTTCGTCAACTCAAGATTACAGGACTCTCAGCAACTCATCGACTTCTTGCGTTTTTTGAATTGGCTAAAATTACTCAGGGTAGCAACAATGGTTGTTAAATTTAAAAACTTGCTGGAAAACAAAAAACAAAGTTCCATGAAACGCATCATCGAGATTCAGCAAAATCCCTTATCTTCGAAATGTCTCAAAAAGAGTCTTTTCCTAAGATAGTAAAACGATTGAAACAGGGGAAAAGATTAAATGATAAAGCCATTCTTTTACTTTTTTCACAGTTCTTAGCAAAATATTTTGGAGGCTAGGAGATGTCTCC